ATTTTGTGTATTGTGCACGGTTCTGCCTAATGTACAATGTAGGTGAAAATTATGAAAGCTCCTTTTTGTAACATGTTTGTGCAGTTAAATTATTAAATGTATACACGTGTATTGAAGGAAATAGAATATGCCTATATGAATTAATATAACGTTGTGATTGCAAATTCTTTATAATGTATATATAAGACTTTTGTATAGAATAATTATCACATTCTAATGAATGTTTATAACTTTATGCAAGAAGGTTATGGAAATAACGAACAGTATTCAATCTCAACGTCCATTAAACAAATATACAAAATAAGAGCAGAGCAAACACGGACCTCCGAAACATCAGAGGTAGGATCAGGTGCCATGGAGGAGTGAGCATCCCCTGCCGACAGGTCACACCCGCCGTGTGCTCGTTGTCATAATCAGAAAATAACGGAAAAAAATCAGCATTTCATTCAATGATAAATTGTATTTGCTGACAAGGTCATTGTATCGACCATAGAATTTACGAAATGATGACTTTAAACGAGACTGTTGATATTCTTGTTTCATCAACTTGCTTGTCAATAATTTACCTCGTTTAAGGATGTACAACACACCTACCTCAAAAATTTTCCTGTCGTTTAATTTTCTTAATTTTTTAATATGTTATTAAAGACTATATATGCCAATTGTTTATGAATTTTTGAGGAAATCGTTCGAGTAGTATTTGGTCAGCAAGCTCCAAAAGTTACCCCCCTTGGCAAGAAAAGAAGTGGCAAAATATTGCAAGAAGAGAGAAATAAAACAATGTTTATTTGCTAAAAATAATGTGATACAAATGTCTTCTTTTGTAAAATCATTGTTGGAACATTAAATTTCATAATCTGAGAGTCTTCACACATTTAGATTAAGATTGAATAATTTTTTGAGGGGTTGAATGAAAAATGTGTCCCTAAAAATGGACGTTAAAATCGCCTATTTTTCAAGTTTAGAATTTTTTATTTAAAAAACGTGTCGTTTAATTTTTAAAAATTTACCCTAATATTAAAGTGTAGCAATCATATTATCATCTGATTTTTTTTTTGAATTTTCTGTCGACTCATTATTTTTTTATAACGAAATTTATCATGGAGGTTCAATCAATTTTACCGCGCTTCTTGCGCAACGTCCTTCTGACGGTCTGAGGCTTAGAGCATAATCAGCTGCTAAAAGGTATATGGCACAAATAAATCTTGTTGCACATCAATTAAAATCATACAATACTTAATTCAAAATGTATTGACTAAAATCAACTTATTTTTGAAGTGGTATGTGATTAAGTACGTTTTTATATAAAACATATTGTTTGAAAAAACCGTTGTATTCCTACCAAGTCGATCCTGAGCTAGTAAAAAAAAATCCACGTGTTGGATAGTATCATTGTCCATCTCGTAAATAAATGTTTCCACAATGTAATTTTTGTGAAAAAACCTGTCGATTAATTTTGGTAAAAAACTTTCTTTAGGTAGCTGGTAGTAAAAATAATCTTCATAATTTTTTGTATAATTTTTGAACGACCAGTTTTAATTTAATAGCGGAAAATCCCCACCCCTTTCTTAATAAATCGCGTTCCCGCGCGTCTTTTAGACGGGGGTCGATCACTTTGTTATATGAATCTACAAATATATACACACTAAAAAAATTGAATTGGAATATTGCTTTTGCTTGAAAAATATATTATCTTACAAATTTAATAGTTCTCATTTGTAAAGCATACTTAAATGTAGATTTTAAGGCAATTTTTGAATACCCCTATCATCCCCACCCCTTCCTTTTTTGCGTCGCAGACCATTAGCGTTTGACGAAACGTCGTTTACAGTGCAAATATACTGGTATATTTCGTCAAGAATCCCGGAGGTATGCATTAGTTTTTTAAAAATTCATGAATGCAGAATAAATATTGACTACTCTTTTTATATGTATGAGGAAAAAATTACTAAAAGATTTTAGTGTTTAGTCCATATACGTATGCGTTATGCATTCCAATCACATGAAACCTGGATACGAATTCAAGTTTTGTTGAACTTGAATATGTTTGATTTTTAATTTTATTTCTTTAATTTTATTCATTAAAAAATAGTGTATGTTCAACTCTTCTGTGATATAAATGAAATAATTGTAGTGTCTTTCATGTCATTAATTCAAACGAGACAGCATGTGACCGCGTGGGGATACACAACATTTGCATTAGATGTACATACACCCCTCATGATATATTGTACGCATTTCTTTCAATGTCGTCGCTTCTAAAGTTAAAATGAAAATTCCGTATTTGTCCACATTAACTTCAAAATATCAAACATTAAACTCTTCATCGATTTCAATTTATCAAATCGCACATTGTTATTTTTTAAAATCTTATAGATCTAGGCTACGTTTTGTTTTGATTCGAGGAAATGCGAACCGACATTGTTGACAGAAAGTCAAAGTTACAATTTGTTGCAAGAGGATATTCATAAATGCAGATAATTTCAGTACAAGTGAACAATTCTTTTCAATTCTATACTTACATTGTGTATATATGAGGTCTATAGTATTCGATTGTCGGAATTATCAGATCTTGCTGTAAATGTATCTGATTCTGTGGAAAACCGTGAATAAAGGGAGGAAAATAAACATCTCCTAAATTTTCAGAGTTGTTCCTCTTTGATCTTTGTTGATCAGTAAGGGTCTGAGAACAGCATCGATCTTCATTGTAAAAAAGTTTTTTGGTTATTTATTCTTGTTTTATTTAGGCAAATTCAAAAAGAAAAACAATCCATGTATTTATATCGTGTATGCACAAATTGTATTGAAGATCATTAATCGGTATGTTATATAGCCAATTGTACATAATGAGAATTTCGGCAATGTAGAATAAAATTTTCAGAATATAAAAAAAATGCTGCGCTTTGAAAAAAAACAAACAATTTATTGTATATGAAATGAAATAAACAGTAAGGGATGGTATTTTATGTCTTGCTTTTTACGGAGTTTAATCGGGTTAATTAAAAAAAAATACTTATTGATTGAGTATTGTACGCACAATCACAGCTAAGTGATAGTCCCATATCCTAATTTTCTTTCATGATTGTTATACATCAGGATCGTTTTACTCGTCGTTTTGACGCTTTATTTTTGACGTTAAATTTGACGTCACGTCAAACGTTCAATTGAAATCGCAAGAGTTATCTCCCCCAGTGTGTTGTACGTCTTTAAGAAATTGTTTATACGTAGAGCATGCTCTTGCGTATCGAATCAACTCAGATATAAATACTCCGTATGCAGGTGATGAAGGTATATTGCTGCATAAGTAAGGGAAGTTGACGATAGAAAAGTTAAAGTCAACACGTTTTTCATATAGCTTGGTTGTTAGATTACCATTTGTGTCTTTTTCAAGTAAAATATCCAAGTATGAAGCAGAAGTGTCGGACTCTGTGGTATCTTTTATCTCAAGCTCACCAGGATATATCGTGTCGACGTAGGAATGGAAATTATCATTATTAATTGACAATACGTCGTCGATATATCTAAATGTCGAGTTGAAGGCCACAGCAAGTGTTTTTTTTCTTTTCACTCAAAAGATTTTGCATAAATTCTGCTTCATATGAATATAAAAATAAGTCTGCTAATAATGGAGCGCAATTTGTACCCATGGGAATTCAAATAGATTGTTGGAAGAAGTGGTCTCCAAAAACCACATAGATATTGTTAATCAGAAACTCAAGCATCTTTTTGATGTCAACTTCAGAGTACTTGTGTGTGCAATCAGCATCTATTTTAACAAAATAAATTTTCAAATGACCAATGACGAGGTAAGTAAACTTACGAGTTCCATTTTTGTTGAAGAAGCAGCTGTCAATGATATCAAAAAGCCTGGATTTTAATTTGTCGTGCGGAATTGTTGTGTATAAAGTTGAAAAGTCGTAAGTTTTAATGCTGTTGATTTTTGTAAAGTCTTGTGATTTCAAATTGTCCAAAAGTTCTTTAGAATTTTTAAGTATCCACATCTGATTTACACCACTTCTTGAATATATAGTTGTACAGTACTCTTGAAGTTTTTCCTTCACTACTGTCAATATTTTAGTGAGAAGTAACGAAAGAGGCTTGGTTGAACATTTACTGGAACCTGCAATGTATCTTTGTTTGAAAGGATTCTTGTGAAGCCAGATGTCATAATTTTTTTTTCATTTCATATGCTTTAAATTGTCATTTATTAAAAAAAAAGTCTTTCACCCCCCACCCCCCCCAAAAAAGGATCCTCGAGGTTTCAAATCCGATGCCTATTACATTTAAAGTGAGAGACATACCACTACACCACGAAACCACTTTTCTCTCGTTTAGGAGAGTGGTTTTGCCATTTTAATTCTGACTTCATTTTAAAAATTTAGAAATTTTGTTGATAAATACTAAAGTTATCATCTAATTCTCCTGACGTCTCCATATGAGTGAAAAATTCTCAATAGGGACGTTAAACAATATACAATCAATTAATCTAATTCACCTTAAAACGCTTTGCACCACAAAAGTATTTATTTTTTGGAAAATAGATTCAAAAAGTTCCAATTGTGAGCAAACAGTCTGTTTAAAAATGAAATAATTTACATAATGAATTTAATTTACCATGAAGGGGTTATTGATTTAAAATATTACATTTATTATAAAAAAAACCATCTGTATAAAACAACAAACTATGTTACCGTTTAGTCTACCAACATCGTATTCTATTCAATTCAATTAAATAACTTATAGTTCACGAACTTGAAAATCTTGCTTTTTATGCAGTCAGTTTATTTATTACATCATAATCAGTAATGTGAATTCTATAAAATTTTGTTAAAAAGTATTTTTTTTACTCTTATCAATTGTATATTCACAATTAATAATAAAAAGATTTAAAGTTGAATACTGATTTATTATCCTGGTTTGAATGTTCTTTCTTCTTTTAAGAAAGCATCTTTCTAAACAGGCATATCCTTATTTGATGATAATTTCTTTACCATTTACAGGCAAAGCTGTCCAGATTGTAAAATACGATCAAACAAAATCGGGTAATGCAAAGTTTCATTACATGGTAGAAGAAATCAAAAAGATTTTCCTTGCTGACGACGTGAAAGACAAAAAGGCTGTTATCATATCCATTGCAGGTCCAGCTAGAAAGGGAAAATCGTTTATGCTGGGATTCTTCATGAAATATTTACAGGATCCAGTAAGTTTATAAGAATCATCAGTAAACTAGTTGCTGTCGAACAATTAGAGGCTTTATATTTCAATTTCATATCATTTATTTCTTTAAAATTAGATTTAATGAAACAAGATGTGTTTCTGAAACCTGATGCCCCCGTATGTCAACAAAGCAAACTTTTCTCAAATTCAAATTTAATTAATTGGTACCAAACGTAGGGTATGCTCACTTGAAAAATAATTGTGAAATACGGAAGAGGGTCAATGTTATTTTTTTTTTCAATAAGTACAACAATCTCAAAGGTCATGGTAAAAAATTCAAGGTAACTGGTATCAAATAAAAGGTCTTGCCACATAAAATATTTATGTAGAGTATGGCAGCCCTAGCCCTTGCAATTCATAGCGCCTACCGTGACACGGCACCTACGTTTTTAAAGTCTTATCCGAAAGACCCGTGACTTTCACTTCTAGTGTCGAGAGCTTGGCGAAAGAACAGTCACTACCTTTGTTTACGTCTTAGGTATGACGCGGCGCTGAGAACGAAAATCGAACCCGGGCCCCCCGATCACGAAGCGAACGCTCTACCACTAGGCTACCGTGACCGGTTGAAAAGTATGAAAGTACTAGCCCTAATACTTTAAGAGTTGTGGTCAGGTTTGCTTTTTTGCTTTTGAGAAGTGGTTTAAACTCAAAGGTCAATTTCAAAGAGTCAAAATTCTTGGTATTCAACAAAGAATCTTTTCACAAGGAATACATGTATGAAGTATGAAAGCCCTATCCCTTACCGTTCAATAGTTATGGCCAAGGTTAAAGTTTTTTCAAAAGTACGAAAATCTACTAGGTTAAGGTCAAACAGTCAAGTTTGTTAATATCCAATAAAACATCTTTCAACGACAAATAATTATGTAAAGAATAAATGTCCTTGTATCTACTGTTCAAAAGAATGGCAAAAATAAAAGATTAAAATTTTTGGGTAAAAACGTCAAGGTCAAAAAGTCAAATTTGGTGGTACATAAAGAACGGTTTTGTCACAAGAAATACACATGTGTAATACGAAAGTTATGGGTCCACTAAATCAAAAGATATAAGCAAGGCTAATGTTTTAATGTTTAGTTGGAGTTTGACTTGCAATTGAGAGAATAAAAGCTTGCTATAAGCTGCTACACAGGGGCTTGAGTTTTTTTTATCAAACACATGTTGTCTTTTAATTGTTTCATAATTTGATACATTTCTGATTTGTTTATGCCCTCGGAAAGGAAGTTTTGTCGTGTCCGTCCGCTGTATGTCTGTCTGTCTGACTTTACTAACCCTAACCCTAACCCTAACCTCTGCGGGGAAATAGCTGAAGCATATGATTTTTGTGTTTTTGTGTTAGAAATTTGTTTTTGTAAATATACACAGGCTTTGGATACTCTTGATATTTCTTCGTTCATTTTCTTGTTCACAGCTTGATATTCAATAAAATCAAGACCGTCGAGTTTTTTCAAATGTGCTTTGGTATTTTTGGTATATTTCACATCCAGTTGCATGTGAGACAAAATCTGATTGTATTTTGTCGGCTATGTTGGAAAGCGCTTCATTTTCTGATTTCAACTGATTGACTGACTTTTTGAGAGACTCTTTGGTCTTGACATATGAGGACTGTGCTTTCTCAAGTTCAGTCACTCTCTGCATTAGCGATTGAGTTAGCGATCGTAGTTCGATAAACGCTTGCGTCGGTCGTTCACTAGGATGATCTTGTTTAGATTTATCAAACACATCAGATCTGTATGAGCTATCGCCATTACAGAGCATATAGAGGGCAAAACAATCTCTAGCATACTTGGTTGAACTAGTGTTACTTTTGGTTGTTTTTCTGGTGATAAGTTTACCTGTTGGGCACCCCTTGGTATTTTTTGCTTTCACAAGAAGTGCATATCTGTATTCTATAATAAGCTGTTCGCTGTTCGATGTGATCTCAAGAAGTTTTTGAACATATAAGTCCCTGGGAAGATTTTGAAGTTGGAGATCAAAAGATGCAAAGTCTTTTTGGCAAGTCGTTATTGTAGATTCCACGGTGGCGTGAGTATCACTCATACTGCCACATAAGCCACTAGTTACTGCATTCACAAGATCAGAGTTTTGAGGACAATATGCAAAATTGAAATTGGGTTCAATCTGATTTTCTGACAATACACAGCTAAACTCTGGATTTTGACTACTTACAGGAAGGAGGGTGGCTCCACAGTTCTGTAGTTCAAGAATATCACTCGGAGGCGAATCGTGAGCGTCCTCACCGGACGACGCCATTTTTTTTTTGTGTGTGGGATTTATGTAAGGGATACAAGACGAAGATGGTCTAATATGTCAGATACGGGACTGGGACGAGGTGCGAAGCACCGAGTCTCAGTCCCGTATCTGACATAATAGAGAATCTGAGTTTTGTATCTTACTTAAAACATTTTTTTCAATGCACTTTTGTATTGCTATTGTCATAATATGGTACTTGTGACGGTGACCAAACCAGATGGAGGGAGCGCTTAAGGGTTTCAGATATTTTTTTTTTTTTAGAGGAATGAATAGATTTTGATTTAAAACCCTTTATTGAACCCCAATCAAATATTATTTATTGTTGCCACACTCTACGGACGCATTAAGAAGAGCTGAACAACCTTATGATAATAAGCGATTCTGAGAGTATTGTGAAAGATCTTTTTTTAACGTATGAAGATTGTAAGTTACCATTAAGCAAATAAATTCAAGGAAAGTGTCGTTTTTTTCTCTTGGATATCGAAAGCACCACATCTTTACGTAAACGAATTTGGAAATATATTGTGAAAATAAATTTTCCAGGAAAAAAACGGAGTTGCACAGATATAACAGATCGAGTGTGAACTTGTCCGAATGTAATGTTCTAGAATAAGGATATGGAAATAACGAACAGTATTCAATCTCAACATCCATTAAACAAATATACAAAACAAGAGCAGAGCAAACACGGACCTCCGAAACATCAGAGGTGGGATCAGGTGCCATGGAGGAGTGAGCATCCCCTGCTGACCGGTCACACCCGCCGTGTGCTCATTGTCATAATCAGGAAATAACGGAAAAAATCCGTAGTCAATTCAGTGTATAAATAATGGACTAACAATTGGTATGAAAAACGTCAGTCAGCATTTCATTCAATGATAAATTGTATTTGCTGACAAGGTCATTGTATCGACCATAGAATTTACGAAATGATGACTTTAAACGAGACTGTTGATATTCTTGTTTCATCAACTTGCTTGTCAATAATTTACCTCGTTTAAGAAATTGTTCATACGTAGAGCATGCTCTTGCGTATCGAATCAACTGAGATATAAATACTCCGTATGCAGGTGATGAAGGTATATTGCTGCATAAGTAAGGGAAGTTGACGATAGAAAAGTTAAAGTCATCACGTTTATCATATAGCTTGGTTGTTAGATTACCATTTGTGTCTTTTTCAAGTAAAATATCCAAGTATGAAGCAGATGTGTTGGACTCTGTGGTATCTTTTATCTCAAGCTCACCAGGATATATCGTGTCGACGTAGGAATGGAAATTATCATTATTAATTGACAATACGTCGTCGATATATCTAAATGTCGAGTTGAAGGCCACAGCAAGTGTTTTTTTCTTTTCACGCAAAAGATTTTGTATAAATTCTGCTTCATATGAATATAAAAATAAGTCTGCTAATAACGGAGCGCAATTTGTACCCATGGGAATTCCAATAGATTGTTGGAATACCTGGTCTCCAATGAACCACTTTTCGTGGATTTATTTGGAAGTGTTTTCGAAAAAATCACAAGTGTATGATAAGTGCTTCAATATCGGTCGTTTCACAATCATTAACCAGTCTGGACTGTGTATTAACTCTACTGGATTTCTGAGATACTCCAATTGTGAAGTTTCGTTGCATTAATTGGTTTCTATAAAGTTTAAATTTGATTACGAGATGTTGATTGCTCCATTGCTTGAATTGGATTACGAGATTGTTGATTTCTATATAAAATTCATAATGTTTGTTAATTTTCTGCCTTATTTATTTGCTGTGCAAAATCTAGGTGACATCATCATTTGTTTCACAAAATACCGTATTATTTTGGAGTACAATATTAGATATAATATTGTACTCCTGACAATAATATTGGACTATAACTAGTACCCTCTTTAAAATACAAGACTGTAGAAACAAAAGAATGACGTCACAAAAATGTTTTAACAAACGATAAAATGGCATGTAATAGTGAGTTTGTATGCAGTATACAGCTATTTAGGTGTTTAAAATAGCACATAATTTCATTTTGTGGTATTTTTGAAGACCTCAATTATGTGTGACGTCAAAGTAAACATTTCCCGTATAAATTAGGTCCCGCCTCCTTAGTTCAAAATAACTGTGCTGCGTGGCAAATAGTTGATCAGAGGTTTGCCTTGTTGTAAGTCACAAATGACTTTTACTGTGTCGCAGGAGTCTTGATAACCAATCAGCATCAGCATGGTTCTTACTTTAATAATATGTGATAGTAAAATTATAGGCTGATAGAGCTGCTATCCAGCGAAGACCAGAATCATCTAACTTAGCTGTAGTCAGAACATAGGTCAGAGGGTTGTTGTCTGTACAGAACGGTGAAGGTGTTGCCCATGAGTCCGAAAACTTGGCAGAACTTGGCACAGAGATGGCCCACTTCAGAGCAAGAAACTAATTTATGTGTTGGGTAGTTTCTCTCGGATTTTGTTAACCCTCGACCAGTGTAGGGAAATAACCCGGTCATGTCCATCCTTGTTCTGGTAGAGAACAGCACCCAACCCTGTACCGCATGTATCTGTGTAGATCTCGAGTGGCTTGGAGAAGACTGGATGTTCAAGGACAGGTGGAGATGTCAATTTGTCCTTGACATCTATTAGAAAACGGACAATTTTGGAAAAATTCTGAATAAATTTTAAAGTATTTCGTAGATAACTCGTACAAGAAATCAAAAAATTCAAAAAACAAATGGTACTTGAGAAAAAATCGAAGTGGAAAAGTGGTAAGAAGTAATTTGCGAAGGTTGGAAAAAACTAAATAGAAAAACGTGAAATGACGAAAGATATGCCCAAAAATAATTGAAAAGAACAGAAAAAAAGCTAAAGAAATGATGGATATACGGGTGGATCTGTGAAGCTACAGTTGGCGAAAAAGGATATAAAAAGCACTAAAAAACCAACAACACTGTATATCCTAAATGTCGGATCTACTAAGTAGATACAAGGTCACGGATGGAAATTTTTATAAAGCACTAAAATGACCAACGACACGAACAATAAAAATTGTCAAATTTTCGGGACGCCCTGTCCCTTCCTCAGGACAAAGAAAAAAGTTAAAAAGTCATATAAACAAAGGAAAAAGAGAAACAAAAAGAACTATCACTACTACTAAACTACTAAACACTAGATATTTACATAATTGCATGTTGAATTGGAAATATTAAGAACACTGATAAAGAAAGAAATCCGGACCGCTGTGAAATGAATAAAGTATGCCATTTTAAATGCGAGATTTGCAAATGAATGAATATTCTAAGTCGAATAAGCGAATTATTCTACTCATAAGTTGTCTAAGGGGCGAACTCTCTTACTTTTTCTTGCATGCGTAGCCTGACATTTGCCCTTGGCATACGCTTTAACTTCACGTATATATTTTCTGCCTGGACCTCAGGGTCCACGCAATGACACATCTGTGTTATACTTGGATATTATACTTGAAAAAGACGTCAATGATAATCTTACAAAATCTATATGGCAAATGGGATGATTTTAACTTTTCTATCGTTAACTTCCATTACGCATGCAGCAATATACCTTCATCACCTGCTTACGGAGTTAAAATATCTCAGTTGATTCGATAGACAATAACATGCTCTACGTGTGAACAATTTCTAAAACGAGGTAAATAATTGACGAACAAGTCGATGAAACAAGAATACCAGTAGTCTTGTTTATGCATCATTTCGTGAGTTCTCTGCCTGGTCGAGACAATAACCTTGTCAGCAGATACAATTTATCATTTTGTTAAATGCTGTCTGACGTTTTTTATACTGATTGTTAGTCTAAAGCTATTATTCATACACCGAATTGACGACGGATATTTCTCTTATTTCCCAATCGTGACAAGGAGCACACGGCGGTTGTGACTGGTCGGAACCTGCTCCATCTCGGAGGCCTGTGTTTGGTTTTTAGCTCACCTGAGCCGAAGGCTCAAGTGCACTTTTCTGATAAAAAATTGTCCGTTGTCTGTCGTCGATGTCGTTGTCGTTGTTGTCGTCGTAAACTTTTAACATTTTCATCTTCTTCTCAAGAACCACTGGGCCAATTTCAACAAAACTTGGTACAAAGTATTCTTGGGTTAAGGGGATTCAAATATGTACAAATGAAGGGCCAGTCCTTTTTCCAAGGGAAGATAATTATGAATTAGTGAAAAATTAAAGGCATTTTTTAAAAAAAATCTTTTTCTCAAGAACCACTGGTCCATGAAAGATGAAACTCATGTGGAACCATCCTCAGGTAGTGTAGATTCAAGTTTGTTCAAATCATGACCCCCGGGGTAAGGGTGGGGCCTAAATGGCCGATCAACGTTTTACATAGGAATATATAGAAAAAAATCTTTAAAAATCTTCTTCTCCAGAACCACTGGGTCAGGAACAAATGTAACTCATGTTGGATCATCCTCATGTAGTGTAGATTCAAGTTTGTTCGAATAATGACCCCCGGGGTTAGGGTTGGGCCAAAATGGCCGATCAAAGTTTTACCTAGGAATATATAAGAAAAATCTATAAAAATATTTTTCTCAAGTACAACTGGGCCAGGAAAGATGAAACACATGTGGGATTATCCTCAGGTAGTGAAGATTCAAGTTTGTTCAAATCATGACCCCCGGAGGTAGGGTGGGGCCAAAATGGCCGATCAAAGTTTTACATAGGAATATATAGGGAAAATCCTTAAAATCTTCTTTTCAAGAACTTTGGGGTCAGGAAAGATGAAACTCATGTGGAATCATCCTCAGGTAGTGTAAATTCAAGTTTGTTCAAATCATGACCCCCGGAGGTAGGGTGGGGCCAAAATGGCCGATCAAAGTTTTACATAGGAATATATAGAAAAAATCTTTAAAAATCTTCTTCTCCAGAACCACTGGGCCAGGAACAAATGTAACTCATGTTGGATCATCCTCATGTAGTGTAGATTCAAGTTTGTTCAAATCATGACCCCTTGGGGTAGGGTTGGGCCAAAATGGCCGATCAAAGTTTTACCTAGGAATATATAGGAAAAATCTTTAAAAATCTTCTTCTCCAGAACCACTGGGCCAGGAACAAATGTAACTCATGTTGGATAATCCTCATGTAGTGTAGATTTAAGTTTGTTCGAATAATGACCCCCGGGGTTAGGGTTGGGCCAAAATAGCCAATCAAAGTTTTACCTAGGAATATATAGGAAAAATCTATAAAAATCTTTTTCTCAAGTACAACTGGGCCAGGAAAGATGAAACTCATGTGGGTTATCCTCAGGTAGTGAAGATTCAAGTTTGTTCAAATCATGACCCCCGGAGGTAGGGTGGGGCCAAAATGGCCGATCAAAGTTTTACATAGGAATATATAGGAAAAATCTATAAAAATCTTTTTCTCAAGTACAACTGGGCCAGGAAAGATGAAACTAATGTGGAATCATCCTCATGTAGTGTAAATTCAAGTTTGTTCAAATCATGACCCCCGGAGGTAGGGTGGGGCCAATATGGCCGATCAAAGTTTTACATAGGAATATATAGAAAAAATCTTTAAAAATCTTCTTCTCCAGAACCACTGGGCCAGGAACAAATGTAACTCATGTTGGATCATCCTCATGTAGTGTAGATTCAAGTTTGTTCGAATAATGACCCCCGGGGTTAGGGTTGGGCCAAAATGGCCGATCAAAGTTTTACCTAGGAATATATAGGAAAAATCTTTAAAAATCTTCTTCTCCAGAACCACTGGGCCAGGAACAAATGTAACTCATGTTGGATAATCCTCATGTAGTGTAGATTTAAGTTTGTTCGAATAATGACCCCCGGGGTTAGGGTTGGGCCAAAATAGCCAATCAAAGTTTTACCTAGGAATATATAGGAAAAATCTATAAAAATCTTTTTCTCAAGTACAACTGGGCCAGGAAAGATGAAACTCATGTGGGATTATCCTCAGGTAGTGAAGATTCAAGTTTGTTCAAATCATGACCCCCGGAGGTAGGGTGGGGCCAAGATGGCCGATCAAAGTTTTACATAGGAATATATAGGGAAAATCCTTAAAATCTTCTTTTCAAGAACTTTGGGGTCAGGAAAGATGAAACTAATGTGGAATCATCCTCAGGTAGTGTAAATTCAAGTTTGTTCAAATCATGACCCACGGTTGGGGCCAAAATGGCCGATCAAAGTTTTACATAGGAACATATTGGGAAACCTTTTAAAATATTCTTTTCAAGTACATGTGCTTCAAAGCCAGGCTCTGTTATATTTATAGGGAATCATCCTCAGGTGATGTAGATTCAAGTTTGTTGAAATCATGACCCCAAGGAGGGGGGGGGGTAAAATTCAAGCCCCCCACCCAGTTTACTTTCAGTTCTGATCTGATCTGTGTTTTTTTTTTCTAGCCAATTGCTCAGGTGAGCGATGTGGCCCCTCGGCCTATTGTTTGTATAGTTTTTTGGACTTTGATTTTGAAAACTGTTTGTTATCTCCGTATGCTTCATCATGCGTCCTTATTAATTTAATTATTTTATTTTTTCAAGGATGGGGCTGCAAGTTGGGACGAGAATGAGCCACTTAAAACTTTCCAATGGGGAGGAGGATGTAAAAGCATTACATCTGGATTGTGGATTTGGAACAAACCATTTATTTCTAAGACGGCATCCGGAGAAGAAGTAACGTATATTCAGTAACATTCTATTTTACATTATAATAATTTACTTTCAAAAAATGCAAAACACAAACATTTGTCACTTTTCCAGAATTATTTTGAAAATTAAAGGATTCTTCTGAATGAATCACAGAGAGATAGAACTAGCGTAATGCATACCTCCTTAAATAGAATTTTTGAAATACAATGTACAGAGTCTTGTACAGAAAGGCCAGAGTAGGAAATAAATGTATAATATCAGCTTTGTAGAAATGTGTCTTATTAGTGGCTACTTAAAACAGCAAGTATTGTAGCATTTCTATGTTTGCTGACTGTCTTAATGAATATGTAGTTATTCAGCTTACATATATTTCAGTAAAAAAGTAAGATTGTTCAATTTTTTTCATTAAATACGAGGGTTTTTTGTAAAACATTAACTGCCCTGAAAATATGACAGCTTTTGCCGAATGTTTAAGTTTTTTATCTAAACAAATATGTTACTCAAAAGAAAAGATTTGTCTCAACGAATAAATTTTGAAATAAAATGCCTCAGCACTAACCATTTAAAAGTCATGGCTGATGTTTTAGCCCATCTGATCTGAGGGCTCAAGTAATTTTTCTGATCAAATAACGTTAGGCGTACCGATATCCGTCCGTCCTTCTGTCCGCCTGTTCGTCTGTAAATGTTCATATTCTCAAAATCTTCTCATTGAATACTGGGCCAATTTCAACCAATGTGCCGGAATGTGTCCTCAGGGAAAGAGAATCAAAGTTTATTTAATAAAAAGACAACACCCTCCACTACTGAATTAGATACCCCCTTAGATTCCAAAAAAATCCCCTGTTGTCCCCTGTCAGTCCCTGACATTTTTCTGTCTCTTCCTGACTTTCTCCTATGATCCCCTGTCGTTGTCCCTGCTCTCCCTGTCCAGTCCCTGTCGTCCCCTGTCGTTGTCCCTGCCTTCCCTGTATACTCCCTATCGTCCCCTGACATTCTCTGATCTCCCTGTACAGTCCCTGTCGTCCCCTGTCGTTGTCCCTGCCTTTCCTGTCTACTCCCTGTCATCCCCTGACATTAATTTTGGCCAAGAAAAGAAAAGAAATATAATTTTTGTTTCATTTAAGAGTGGAAAATGATATAGTCTTGAAAACTTTAGTATTTTTTTGAAAATATAGAGTTAGTAAATAGTGAACACATTTTTAAATGCCTTAACTAAATCCTGTAATTTAGTTCCTATGACTTGTATCAATGTGATTTTTTTTAGTTTGGTAGCATTTCGAGGGGAGAACGGCAGAGACTTGCATCGATTCTAAAGAAGAATATACATTACATTATCAAATCAATGCGTAGGATATTTTGTTATCCCAAAGAAATAAATGAATGAAAAATTAATTGAAATGCATTAATAAAGTGAATGACTATTCAATAAATAAAAATAATTAAATAAACTAAAAATCTACTTTATCATTTATTTTCTTATGTGAATAAATCTACAAATCGACTGAATTAAGAAAAAATAAAAATAAATAAACAATTAGATAAATTAAATAAATAAATATATAACTAAATAGATAAATTTATATCCCCAAAATTTGTTTTATTAGTTTTATTTTATTTATTTGCTGAAATATGCTACAAAGTATTTTATTAGCATATTTAAACGACTTTTTTTTTTTACTTTAAGTCCATGATGGATATCAAAATAACCGTTTCATTATGCACAATTTTAATCTGTCATTTACATTTTTGATTAATTAATTTGATTAAAAAATTGGGTTTTCAAAACCCTTACACGGTTCTGAAACAACATCAAAGCCATTGATGTTTACCAGGATTAAACTCGTGGTACACGGTCATGACACCTATTATCTTTTTCTCCGACAGCTATACCTTGTTCATATTGTGGCAAGACGACCGTGTGTAGTTTGCAGCTGTTTGAAATAACATTTTCTCTTTGTATGAGAACTGATTTTTTCAATCTAAACGAAATAAAATTATCAAAAAAAACCTTTGACGGGATAAGATTGTGCATAATGAGACGATTATTTTGATATCCATCATTGAAGTAAATTAATTAAAAGCAGTTTTAATATCCTTCAGAAATAAATTGATACATACAGTACAGGCCACGAGTTTTCCACTAAAAACACGGGCAACCGTGGACCGCAAGTCCACGCTTTAGATCCCCTGAAGCAGAATCAAAATTCCGAAACCTTACTGCACATCTACATAACACCAACAACCATCTCTCAAAAGATGATTAGGCTGCTGAGTAAAATGTAGAAGGAGTTCAGGGAAGATGGGGCTTTTTGCATAAAAAAAACGTCATTTTTCGACCCCCATTTGATCCCCCGGGGCAAAATCTAATTTCTGAAACCATACTGCACATCTACATGACATTCCCGACCATTTCGCAAAAGATAATTAGGCTGCTGAGTAAAATGTAAAATGAGTTCAGGGAAGAAGAGGCTTTTTGTATCAAAAACATCATTTTTCGACCCTCATTTCATCCCTTGGGGCAAAATCAAAATTCCAAAATCTTACTGCACATCTACATGACACCCCCAACCATCTCCCAAAAGATGATCAGGCTGTTGAGTAAAATGTAGAAGGAGTTAAGGGAAGAAGGGGCTTTTTGTATAAAAAAAACATCATTTTTCGACCCCAATTTTACCCCCCAGGGCAAAATCAAAATTCTAAAACCTTACTAATATGACTAGTTTTAAGAGGATTATCCTTATAAAAGTGAATTTCTCTGTGCTTTCTATATTAATATTTCTTCACTTAGGGCAGTTATATTAGTTTAAGAGTTGTTGTAAATTGTGCTTTATAAATAAAATTAATTTCATCACAACATGTATTGGTAACAATCCTCTAAAACTAATGTCCAAATAACTGTATCTCACTTCTATTCTCAATGACCGTGTAGTGTAGGGCAGCGTTGTGAGAATTCCATTGGCATCGAAAGCAAGTTTTTAACTTGCCTAGATAGCCGAGCGGTCTAACGCGCTGTTCCTGCACTGCTAGGAGACAGATTCCATAGGTCGAAATTTCAACCCCTGGCTGGGGCGGAAGTGGGTATCCTCATCAAAGTGAATTTCTCTGTGCTTTCTATATTAATATTTCTTCACTTAGGGCAGTTATATTAGTTTAAGAGTTGTTGTAAATTGTGCTTTATATATATTAATATTTTAAAAGTAGGTTAAACTTCAAGACAAGGGTCAAAGAGTCAAAAGTAATAATATATTTGAAAAAGTCTTTTCACATGTAATTTACATGTATACATGTAATTTGAATGCCCTTCCTTTTCTATTTCAAAATGATAAATTTAAAATGTTATTTTTTTGGAAAGAAGGTAAAATTTTAAGGTCAACTTCTCACTCTGGTTAAAAAATCATAATAGTTTATTTAGAAAGTTTTGTGGTAATGTACATGTGAAATATGATAGTTTTATCTCTTATTATTCAAAGGTTATGACCAAGGTTCAATTCATTGTGACAAATGAACATACTGTCAATACGATGGACAGATTGAAATCGTACAAATGATATTTAATGTCCCATCCCTTTCCCCCCAAACAAAGGACAATAATGCAATTGCTGTTCTTGAGAAGATTTATGACGGAAAAAATTCCCTACATATTTCTTAGGGCAAATCAAGATTATGTTTTTATGTCATTTGTTTGCTTGTTATTAAACATCCCTCTCAGGAATTGTTCACTCATATGGAGACACCACCCCTTAAAAAAAATGAGGACAAGTCAGATTTGAGATCAACATTCATTTTAGGAGTTTTCAACCATTAAGGCGTAGAGACATATTGACTCGATCTTCCCCTCACCTCTTCCTAGACCCATATTTGTTCATATATGCAAACTACTACTTGTTTTTACATTTAAGAAAATTTTAATATACAGTCAAACTTGTTTTAAGAGGCCACCTTTGGGAAGTATGGAAACTGGCCACTTAAGACATGTGACCTCTTATTCCAGTTTGCCTTCGAAAAGGACATTCGGTCAATACATAAACAACATTAAGCATTACAGTAAAATTAATTTAATCATAATTAAACAGGTCAATTTCAAAAAAGCTTTTTATGCATATATATCAATTCAATCTCATTTAAAGAATTCGAAATGTTAAAGGTTTTGTGCATGTTTCTGTTCTTACGTATAAATAATTAATAGTTAAAACGTTGCATTAATCAGTGTGCTTTTGTTACATTGAAATCCTTTTAATTTTCATTTGAAGTAAAGAAAAATGCACAAAAATACGGTTTCATGGTAAATAAAGTAAAGCACAGAAATTTAAGTAAGAATATGTTCACTTTCATATGTTAATAAAGTGGTCAGCAGTGTAATCCCCCCCCGGTCAACTTAATTAATCAGTAATTAACTTATTTGCTAATGTTTTTAAAGTCTTGTTAATTATACTAGTATTCTTGATAAAGCTGTCAGAATTTCTATGTAACATACACAGATACACAAATAAAATTAACAGTTGACCAGAGAGATGTATTTACGAAGTTGAAAATCATTCCATAACACAGGTGTCACGTTCAGTAGAGCGTAACGAATCCCTATCGATAGTCTCTTGATAGTAAATTCACGAGATAATCATGGCACATGAAGCACTTTGTTTTCACTAGAGTAACAATTAGGGCTTCTCATGGAATCAAAATCTACAAGGTGTGAATTTCTTCAGCTAGAGGAAAGTATCAATTGTAATTAAATTCTATTAATTTTTCAATCGGCGATCTTGAAAAATAATTACAAGTTGATCTAACAGGACAAATATATTTTTTTCATAAACACAAACAGAGTTCAGCGTATCTTAAAGCAATTTTTTTAATTGCATTAATAGGTTAAATTTACTATCGAGGATATAATTACCCAAGCCAATGTGTTTAAAAGATGTGATAGGACCGCAAAAAGTGACGAAATGACCGCTATTACAGTGTCAATAAGCCTATTGGGGGAGGATTTGGGTGGCCGCTGGCCGCGTTACACAGTTGGCCGTTTATTC